GAAGGAACCACTCTTTCAAAATTATCTGTAAATTAAATTGTTGAAACTACAATAAAATCTTTAAAATATGTTTCACACCTGTAATAACATATGGTGCAAAAGTAATGGTGTAAATGTCGAGCATTATTTCTCATATTCCCGATGTACTGGAGAGTTAATTATTTTTCCGTTGGAAAGAGCACAGTCTGAACGTCGTAAAACATATAACAACAAACAATAGAACAAACTTTTTCTTAATTAAGTTTGAGCGAGAAAAAATCTAAATAGCAAATATTGTCAAAAAAAGCTCTTGCAACTTTCGTTCCCTTCAAACGTGTCTCTCTCATCAAGCATATTTTTTCCCTATATATCTGAAATTATGTAATTATAGAAAGTGTTTTTATCGCTTTTTCGAATGGAGAATAGTAAATTATCTTTCGATCCACTTTCAGCCGAAGTGCTTGTCGGAGCACTTTTTCATTATTTTCAAAAACACAATTAGTTAGATTTAATTAGTAATTTTCGAATAGTAAACCAACTTCCTCCTTTCATCAAAAAGCATTTTCTGAAACATCATTCAATTCTCTACAAATTCACCTTTACTAATATATTTTTATATATTGACATTTTTTGACTTTTTTACGTTTTTTATAAAACTAAGTATATTTAGTATAATTGAAAAACATTTTTGTAAAATGATTTGACATAAAATAATTTATGTAAATAAAAGTTTTATATCAAATCATTTTACAAAAATGTTTTTCAATTATATTAAATATACTTAGTAATATATTTTGAGTTATAAATGAAGAAATTTTCTCGATGTGTCATCTTCCGATGCTACTGAAACTCCGTTTTTTTTACTATTAAACAATTATTAAGGAACTTTTAGAAATCAGAGGGATAGTTTTGCACGAACTACATTCTCATCTATTTAATTTTCAAAGCTTTTCTTTTCAGGCTGAAGTGTAAAGAATAACAGAAAAAAGTACATTGCAAAACATTTTTGAAGTCAGTCGAAAGGACGTTGTCGTACTGTTCAAATTGGATAAATAAAAAATTGTTTGCCAGACAAATTTGTTCTTTAGACTTTGCTCTTTCAAAAAAAAAAAATTCATTGTGGTTCGACACTTCGTCACTGAGAAATACGGCTTGACATTTACATAATTACTTTTGCACCATATGTTATGTTGTTTCAAAAATTGATAAGAAAAAGAAAGAAGACACCAGCCTAGTGTTTTCGACCTGGTGTCACCAGGTCTAGTTTGATAGATAATACATATTACTTCTTTCTAGACAGATAATTATAGCTTGTAGATAGAGCTCAAGCAGCGATGATAGACTTGTTACACTATCACAATGTTATCACTTAATTTCCAATATTAAAAAACATTCAAACTAGCAGTACAATCATCCCCTCTTCCGATATATTATGAATTTTCATAAAAATTTATTGAAAATTTGTTTAAAACAAAAACGGTATGATACATTTTCGATTTTTTGGATATTTATTTTTGAATCTTTTCTTATATTGTTGATGTCTCTGATTAGCAAAACATGTAACAGTGATAAAAGTAGCAACAGCAAATAGAAAAGAAGCCAATGTTAAGTTAATTCCAAAATAGGCTAACCACATGACTATTTCAGCTGTATAATGAGGAGTTGTTACTTGATCAAAAAATAGTCCACTCAAATAACGATCATTTGCTAAATTATAATTAAAACGTAATTTTAAATGACAATAGCCATTAATAAGCATACACACAATAAATAAACATGTACAAAAAAATGCCAATAGATATGGACTTGTGGTAAAACTAAAAGTTATTATCTCATTGAATCACCGTTAATTTAATTTAAAATTTTTCTTTAGACTTACACTAATGATTGTTTATGAATTGAATATGTTATCCAAAATGCAAATAAATAATAGTAAATAAATTCTATAGAGAAATATAATATTTTAAATATGATGACATTTTTGTTTTCAAGGGTTTACCTCCGATAGCTTCAAATATTGGTGTATTTTGTTGACGAAATTTATGAACGAATATACTTTCTATTAAACGTTTTAAAAAATGAACATTCCACAAAAAAAATAATAAAACATAATAATTGATCGTTTCGCGTGAACCATAGAGAATACTGATTGTATCGTAACTAACAAAACAATGAGTTAGTTTCATACAACATTAAATAAAATAAAGTTGAAGATTTATGTGGCATACTGATAAATAGAATGATGTATTTTATACATTTTGAATTTATTTATCAGATAATTGTCGATCAAATCTCTTCAAATGATTAAGAGATATCAATCAAGAAAACTTTTCTATCAATAGAAATTGTTGAGCATCTGTTTTTATCTCTGTTGAATAACTTACATGACGATGGCACCGCCATAGGAAATAACTCGAGTTAATCGATTTGAAAATGTTTGTTTTAAGCCTAATGACACATGTGTTTTAACAATAAAGACAGTTTCATCGATCATTATCTAAAATTGATATGAGACGTCAAAGTTGACACTTCCACAAATTCGACGTATATACGTAAAAGAATGATGTTTATTTTATTTGTTCTGTCAATACAAAAATGAAAATGAAAAGAGAAAGCAGATGAAGTATGTTTAATATATTACGAGATAATAGCTTAAGCAGAGTGATGATTATTTAAAGAAAAAAAAAAACTATGTGTTTAGAGTCAGTTCACACTACAAAAAAAAACCAAACAGAGAGAGACAGAGAAAAAAACTCTAGAAGATGAAAAAAAACAAATGCAATGCCGAGATAAATCTGAGAGAGAGAGAGAGAGAGAGAGAGAGACGCAAAACACAAGCACCAACAAAAAACAACTCATTGTTCGTTCTAATATACAAGGTATAAAAATAGACAGAGTAGCCGTAAATGTAAAGTGTGTTTAAAAAAAGAAGATGGACGCTATAGAAGAGATGTGTGAGGAAAAAAAAATCGAATTATAGTTGATATATACAAAACAAATGTTTCACATCCTGTTATTCCGTGTTAATTTACGTGTCTTTTTGAGCAAGAAAAAAATAAATAAAAGAAAAACATTTTTGTTTTACTTAAAAAGATCATGTTGATTGGAATGCAAAGCAGATGAGCAAAGAAGGGCATAACACAACTCAAAATATTGAATATAACTCACCGATAGAGACATAATGCTCGACATTTACACCATTACTTTTGCACCATATGTTATTACAGGTGTGAAACATATTTTAAAGATTTTATTGTAGTTTCAACAATTTAATTTACAGATAATTTTGAAAGAGTGGTTCCTTC